TTACAATAAACTCAATGGTAAAGAAATGACACCAGGTATCTCTTTACAGGTTGGATGGGTATGAAATGTGTTTTATTTACAATGAATCATCAGTATGGGATGTCAGAACCCTGCTTTCATTCCCTCGGTCTGCAACACGACTGTTTACTGTCACCCTGGCAATATGCAGGCTAAGACGTTAGCTTAGCCTGCATATTAACAACGTAATTTCTTAACAAAAATTATCAAAACCAAAAGCCATACTATCAAAGACCCTAACAGGTTCTGTCACTTCATATCTTACCGTTAACGTTGCGCTCGTTACTTGTCGCCGATTAGTTGAAGAAATAAACGGCTCCAAGAAGACTGCGTGCTTTTACTTTGAAAAGCGGCGTCAACAGGCGATCGCTTGTTTTCCAATAAAAGTAGGTTTTCGTTCAGACCGGAAGGTTTTTCTCAAAACTCTAAACGCAAATCCACAAAGGTAGAGAAAAGAGAATATTTGTTTAAAAGTTGTAAATATTAGGAAGATATTCATTCTTTTCATTTATTTGTAAATGAATTGAATGTATTCACAGATGTTTTTATTCATGAAATTTGTTTGTAGATCCGTTTTATATTTGGAAGATATTTTTGTGAGTTTATAAATGTATTTTTTGTATTTGTGGAAGGTGTTTTATATTCAAACATTTATTCACTGATTGTCAAGCAGTTTACATAAATGAGACAAAATCTACCTCCATACCCATCCCTCTTCCTCTTAACCCTCACATATTTTTCTCCACTTTTAACTTCACTCCTTTATATTTCTGCTTCCTCTCCTGGTTTACAGGTTGTCCTGTCCTGTCCCCGCGCCCTCTTACGCATTTCCCCTCGTGGCTCGCCCAGCTCGCCAGTATTTAATGTTAACATTATAATAAATGAAAAAACATAAATTCTCAAATTACAAAGAAATAGGACGTTTTGATTGTTGTAATTATTTTTTTCTAGTTCTCGTTTTCATTTTCATGTGTCTTTTAGCTTAACATGTTGAGATAGAGGTCTATTTATAGACAAAGTCGTCATTTGGGGTTAAAAATGATCCTGACAAGTTTGAAAAAGTCAGAATTAGCAAAATCCCTCTGAGCCTGGATTATGAAAAAGACGATTAGGAAAATCTATAAATCTAATGCAGATGAAAGGGTTTGAAAACTAGCCTGGGCGTTGATTTGTTTTTTCCCTCGGTTCATATTGTATTTGTTGTATTGTGGATGGCAATACAAAAACACATGAGCAAAGACATCTAATGATGCCATGTGTCAATACCAGTTTCTAACCAGCAGATGTCGCAACAACACAACTGTCTTTCTGAAGGTCTCCAGGGGGTCCTTGATGGGGCTCCAGGGGGTCCATTGCAGGGAGACGAACCTCAGTTTAATTTGCCTTAATGTTGGCAGGAAGTTGTCTAAATAATGCACGAGGGTATTAAAAGTTTCATTGTCACTGCTGTCACCCAGACAGGTAGATCCAAAGATACAACAAAAACCTTTTATATTTGACTTCCTGAGGAGTACATTTAACTAAGAGACTCCTAATATTGAGGGGCTGTAGTACTACGAAAGTCTGACATTAACGCAACATCCTCACATTAGTTGAATTTGTTAATGACTTTTTCTCTTGATTGCTGAACTTCTGTTGTCCACTGTCTGTGAGATCCTGGTTATCCAGGAATAGATTAAACAGCCGAGACTCTGTAAAGCTACTCGCAATATAGCAGATGCTATATTAGCAGAAGTTATGTAATTCTCCCTTCAAAATAAAATAAAAAAAAAGGTGGCGGGCAAAGCCGCAAAAAGGTCAACGCTCAGTAGTTTCAAAAAATTCACAGCAAAAAAAAAAATCTTTATATAAATAATTCGCCAACTCTCTGACACATGATACGCATCATGTAAAAAGACAGAAAATTGACAACCAAAGTTTTAAATTATTGTGGCACGTTAAATGAAACAAGCTTTATTTTGAAAGCTGTTACCGGAAGTGTCATATTTATGCCTAGTACTTGACGCAGACTCCTACGTCTCGTGCTGCCCGGCGCTTTTCCCTCAGTAACTCTCCGGTAAATTTGCCCGTCACCACCTGTCCTGCAACGACTACAACAGGTGAGCGTGCTCATCTCTTCATAAACTTATTTATTCAGAAAAAAAATTTATGAAACGACATCAAGTTTTACAAATATTGTCACATTGTAGACTGAGAGAGACGTGTTGTTTGTTTTTGGACCGGGCTGTCGGAACACCTTGACAGTTGAGACTTGACAAGTTAGCTAACGAGAGAGAAGCTTCACGTACGGACGAATTACACGATAAATATGGCGGCGGAGCGAACTTTAAAGAATGTGTCCAAAAAGTCTGAGTTTAAAAACACTCCGTGTTCAGATGGAGGCAACGGCTGAATCTGTCTGGTACTTATCCCCAACACTTGAGGGGAAACTCTCCCATCGCTGTCAGAAATCTGACATTCCTGTTCTTTTATTTACAAGCAGAGCATGTGTGATAACTTTGAACTTTTCTGATAAATTTAGCATATATAAAAAGTCACCATCGGCGCTCAATTTAAATAAAATCTCAACTATGGTGGGAAAAGGCAGTATGGATAACAAGTGAACCAGTTAGAAAACGGATGTATAAGGTGTTATTACATATTTTTCTTTTTTCTGGATTTGATGTTTACCGAATTTACATACATTACAACAGCGATGATTTGTCAAAGGCCTTTTTTTTTTTTTTTTTTATAGTGGATTAGCTGAGAAGCAACATGGGATTAAATGAGCAGAGTCGAGAATGGGGTTTGGTCTGCGTATGATTGAACTGAGCTCTAAAACATACAATTGAGCCCTTTATGCCAATTTTGAAAAATTAGAACAATGACAATAAATTGAGATGCGTTCACTTGCTTTTCAATTTTCACGTTAGACAGAACATGAGACTGCAGGATTTGTTATTTTTTAACAGTCTAGTCTTGATTGAAGGATTTATTATAAGCTTTTACATGTTTCACTCCTGTCACTCAGGATTTCACAGGAACCCCATTTAACTCCAGCTCTATCCTTTGACATTTAGGCTAACAAGCCCATTTTGGACTCCTTGTTTACATTCTGGCTCATGCCATTGAAGGGCTATGCAGTTGTTTACTGCCTGGCAAGGTGCCTGGCTAGTTTTAGATCATGTGTCAGTGCACAGACATGCATTGGCATCTGCTGCTGGGCTACACTCCTGCATGATCACCCAGTAGTCCGGAGAAATAACTGAACCATGTGCCCCAAAGAGGCTGGTAGTACTCATGTTTTTGACTTGCAAAGTGTTCCCCAAGCACGACAGACTATTAACTCAAACAGAGTCTGCTGCTTAAGAAGAATATTTACTTGTCTGTCAGGATGACAAAGAGAATAATAATGCTTTTGAGAATTGCAAAACAAATCCATCTGATGTTTTTTAACTCTCAGAAATTCTCTAATGCTGACATACATATATAACTACTTACTTACAGACAAGTCAGACAGTGCTCTGGACTCTTACTTGTAGTTGTTTTGCACACAGAGTGGACTCCTCTAATTGGAGGCTGTGTCTGAGTGATGTGGCCTCACTGGTAGAAACAGACTCACCCAGGTTGACGGTTTCACCCCTGTAGGAGAACATTTCTCCCGGTTATGTTGTGTCATGTTAAATGTGGTTTCTTCGCTTGTCGCACACAATTAGGATTTCAGCTAAATTGGTTGTGAAGCAGCGGTCAGCTCTGCACAGAACTTTTTCCAAATACGTAATCGGACAGAAGGCCAGACACAACTTGACTGGGAAATACTTCCTTAAATTCGGGGAATGTTATCATTGGATGGAGACCTTATTCCTGCACGGGAAGACTAACAGATTAGCTGCACACTCCTGAGGGACGGGTCTTCCTGGATCAGAGAAAACAAACAAAAGTTGAAGTCAAGCTAAAGTCATGTCTATCAGAAGGATTTGCTGCTTGTCACAGTTTCTGTATCATTGTAAATTGAATATCTTGAATACTAGTAGGCTAGTAGATTATTTATGTAGACAGCAAAAGGAAATATATTCTTTCTTGTTTATCTTTAGTTTTTATTGCAAAAAAAGCATTAACCTAATGTTTATTTGTTGTCTACCAGTGTATTTGAGTTTTATGAGTTGGAAAATGACTGAACTAAACTAAACTGAACCAAACTAAAAGATGGACGTGTGGAAAGAAAACTGCAGTTATTTCAATGAGACTTCTCGCCTCCAGAGAAAACCACTGGTGATTAATCAGGAAAAAAAAATCAGAGTTTAAAGCATCTGATAAAGACATATTAGCTGATATTAATTTTCATATATAAAAGTATTTGATACGGATCCATCAATGTTGTTTTTTGTAAAAAAAAAAAAAAAAAAAAAAAAAAAAAGTTTATTGTATGAAGTACTGGGCAGGACATTTTGCAGTGTAAAAATAAACTTGTCAGTCAGTGCTCTTACAAAATTCACACTTTATAATGAGACACTTTCTGCATAGAGATGCATTGAGATTTGTTACCAGCCCAACAGAGTTATATGGGGACATACAGAAGTGCTTTACAGAGGCTACTGTCTTCAATTACTGTATTTTTTCATTGATGGTGGACTCACAGTGATTTTCCTGTGTCTTTCTCTCTAGTGTTCTCTTCGTGGTGTGATGGCAGGTTGGGCTGCTGCTGCCTCCAGGTTGACAGAGACAGACTATGAACACAAGCTCAGTCCTGCAGGCAACTAAACCTCTGCTAGTTCTCGTCTATATCCAAACCCAAGATCACTTTCATCAGAGAGAATGGATGCACGCTCCAACAACGTGAGGAAGAAGACCTCCTGCACCAGTTCACCTGACACTCCTTCTCTCTAGCCTTCTACCCACAACGTCTCCTCATGGCTGGGCTTCAGCAGCTGCCTGTTAACTCTCTGGCAAATGTTTGCTGAAACCATCCGCCTGGAGGAGCATTGAAAAGACCAAAAAAAAAGTGACCTGCGAGTAGTTTGTGCATCTGTGGTTCAGTTCGTAATCATGGGGAAAGAGCAAGATCTGCTGGTGGCGGTGAAGAGTGGGGATCTGCTGCTGGCTCACAAGCTTCTCTCCAAAGTCAAGTGCAACAAAACCAGTAAGTCTGGAGCCCGCAGGGGGAGAGTTGGTTTTGTATTATTTCTATACAATGCCGTTTTGTTCTGTGCTCTGGGCCTGGGAGTGTGATTGTTTCCACTGTGAAACAGAACTTAGATAGCAGAGCCAGAGCTGCTGCCAGCGGCGATGTTGTTGTTACTTCTGAACCAAGTGCAGTCTCTTTGAGATAACCACAGGATCAGGTTCAGCTGTCGACCACAAAACACGGCCCCCTCCAGCAGTCGGGTCAGGGACAATTTGAAACTAAGTGGATTCAAACTGCGGCACAACACGGGCTAATCTCCTGAACGCAGACCCCTGCAGCTCACGCGTCTTGCTGTGTGGGTTTTAGGGGGCTTTCTTCTTCTTTCAGAGTTCCTTATCTGCGTAGATTCCAAGTCGGGCGACAAGCGAGCTCTCTTTACAGTAGCATTGTTGCAAAAGACAGGGTACTCCCTTATCCAAGCCGGGGGAAAATTAAGGCCAAGCGGGCTGTGAAGTTGAAGCCTCTCTTTGTGGCGTTATCTGTTCTGGGCTTTCATCAGTATGGCTGGCTGCTCAATGACAAGCTCTGAGAACAAAGCTGTGGCTGTCGGGAAAAAGCCTGTTACACACTTTACACACTGCACACACAGCGAGCGCCGCTTGGCAGAAAATATTAAAAATGATATTGTCTGTTCTTGCACTGCTGTGTATGTGTACTTTGTGGTTTGTGAACGAGGAATGACTGCCACACTGGCTGGGAAAATGCGGCTGGGAAAAGTGAATGAGTAATGTTCTCTGCTGTTTTATGAACCACTATCAAGGTGCCGTTGAGCAAGGCACAGTTTTGGAAGAGTAGCACAGTGGCCAAATTAAACTTTATAGTTGTTTGTTTCCTAAGTGAGACTTGTGGTGGAAGAAAAGTGACTTCTTCATTAAAAAAATATATAAAGAAATGATAAAATAAATACATAAATATTGTAATCAATAGAGCGGGTTTTGGAGATTCAGTTGAAGTTCAAGGAAGTAGTTAAAGTATCAGCTGAAGTGTAAGCACTGAAAGCAGCTGAAGTAAAATGTGTATGCAACAGGCAGGTGGTCCCAACTGAACTATAAAGCAGGAATGGTCAGTTGAGGCAGTGAGGGCAGCTACATACAGACACAAATAGATTAATTAATGTTCTTTATTTATTCCTGATTAAGTCATTTTTTGTCATGTTTGAATGTGTAACTGTGTGAGATGATGTGGGGTGTTTGTTAGAAAGACCTCAGTTTATTTGCTCATTGGAGCTAAATAAAAGTTAAGACCATAACTGTGCAAACACAGCAGCTGACCTCGTATATTAAGATAAAAGTGGAGTTGTATGTTATGTCTTTACGGCACCGGCACACCAAAAACATAAGATGAACGTATTGCCAAAGTTTGTGCAAGAAAGTGTTAAGTTGTTGCTCAAATGGAAAATTTCCTTGTTTATAGGATCGGGTAAGATCCCAAATTTCATATTGATACAAAATTTTAAATTTTATCCTTGTTTTTTTCATATATTATGAAAAATATTTCTTGTGGCAGTAAATATTGCGATATTTGATATTATCGGATCTCAACGCCGCTGATCCTCAAGGACCCTCGCAGAACGTTGTCCAAGTCATTTATCACTTCGGTCAGAGCTGCAGTGTCTGACAGACGTGCAGCAGATCCTGCAGCTCTTCACATGACCTCCACTGCCTGTCAATAAGAGCTGATTGATTGGTTTGTAGTGACCTGCTTTGAAACCAGCCACCCCAAACATACGGTGGTATAATGTTGCTGATAGATTATTTAGTATCCATTATTGGGGATTTATATTGGGGAACACAAAGATTTTGATTGCTCATGATGATACTCGCAGCCTTTTGTGACCTGCTAGTGAGTTTAACTGACTTTCTTATAACAAACAAAACTTATCCTTTAGTGTAAATCCTTTGCAAGGGTCAGGCGCTTTTATAAGCTGCTGTGGTGGTGTCAGGCCGACATGCTGGACATTCCCAAGGCCTCAGGCTAAGCTTTGGCCCGGGGCTGCGTGCAGATGGAAGAGGGAGGCACCTGTGCATGGACTGTATTCTGCTGTTGGAGGGAGTGGTGTGGGGGGCCCTGGGGGTCAGGGAGTGACCAAGCCTGTGGAGGACAGACAAAAACAGAGAGCACTGTTAGAGGGGGCGTTTGGTCAGCTGGTCAGCTGGTCAGCTGGGACCAAGGAAAAGGAGACTGACTGTGTTGTTGATTGTTTGGGAGTGTGACACAGTTACATGACACAAAACTGACAGCAGGTGCAGGACGACACAGTATTTTATTCAAAGTCGGAGAAAACAACAACATCCAGTATTTAGCTAGTTTGGTCTGGAGCGTCCTCTTCCTTCATTTTGTTTATTTCTCCAGTATCTCACACAGCTGATTAAAAGAGTTATCCCAGTGTTGTCGGTGTAAAGCAGTGAATTACAAAGATCTAGTATTTTGGCAATTAATGGATTTTGTCAATTAACAGATAATAAATCAACAACACTTGTGATAATTAGTTTAGTTTAAATCATTTATAAAGGAAAAAATTCTGATCCCAGAGGATGAATCCCATAAAGTTTTCTCTAGTGCCACCATGAGGTTGACATTTGCGGTTCAGAGTGAAATAGCTCGACAACTATTGGATGGATTTCCCTGAAATGTGTTGCAGATACTCATGTTCCCCAAATGATACCAAGTCAAAGTTTTCTCTCTTTCAGCAAAATATATCAACAACTTCTTCATGGATTGGCTCCACATTTAATAAAATATTCATCGTTCCCAGCCGATGTTGAGTTAAGGGCTAAGTTGCAAAATAGCATGATAACATGCTAATCTAGGATAGCAAAAATGATATCTGCTGACATTTGCATTTAGCTAAAAGCACCACTGTGCTTTACCGAGCTGCTAACATGTTTGTAGACTGTTGGTATTGTCAATCGATTATCAGTGTTACTGTTGGGGTGGAAATGTGAACAGGTTTCGTTCTTAGGGCTCCTTACTTAAACTGATTGCTCAAACTGGGTTGCTTTAAGCTGAAAGGCTTGGTGTGTGCTGTTTTAGGGGGTTTTATTTATATATATATATATATATATATGAACATTAGCCTTTTTGTTAAAGAAAAATACAATAAAGCATCAGCCTTGAAATACCAATATTTTGCATCTTCAGCTGGTCGCTCTGCTCGGTGCAGGAACCTGTTGGTAAAGCTGGCTGAGAGGTGGTGGAGGAGACGTGCAGTGCCCCGAGGGGATTAGCGGAGGCACCGATGCTGGCTGATGGACAGGGAGCTGAGATGGGAGGTTTCTTCTCCGATCAGCCATCTGCTGACATCAGGCCGGGTGTTCAGTCAATTTAAGTGGACTTACCACAGTCTCCCTCTTTTCGCTTAGCTGTTTGCGAGCTGACAAGTCAGGTGGACCTGGTGTGTATAGATGCAGTGGTTAGACAGAAGGCTGCAGCCTCTGTGCAGATGCACTCTGTTGCATTCAGAGTGACAGCTTGATTCGTGGAGTCATCCTTGTGCCCCCCCCCCCCCCCACACACTCCTGACTGGGAGTTAACAGAAGTGGGTGTCGTTTGCCCCTCCTGGAATGGGAACCATTAGAGACTAGAGGCTCTTCAAAGACCTTCATGATTACAATGTCTTTTGTTGAAACACATGCTTTCTTTCATCTCGACCCTCGGCCCAACCCTCTCCTCCGTCACGGTAAACAGAAGGCCTGTGGGTAATTCTCAACGGACAGATGGACAAACATCCATCATACAAAGGCAAAAGATCATATTTGAACATCTGTTGTGTCAGATCCATATATAGTATATTGATGAGTCAGACCTTCACAAATCTTTTTCACTGAACATGCAGCCAACCACAGGAAGTCAGGTTGGCAATTTAAGCTGATTCATACAGTTATTTGTGATTAACACATCATAATCACATCACTGCCTTGTTATTACCAGCTGAGTCCCAGGTGGATACTTGTGTTGACCACCCACCATGATCAAACTCTCACATCAACCAAATTTAACAGATTTGAGAGGCCCACAGATATAAAGCATGTAAGGTGTCCTACTAAATAATAAAATCTGTTTTTAACTATTATTTTCAAACCATTATTTCCCAGTTATCAGCAATGCACCATTAAACTTCAACCACTCGCTCTACTGAACTTAAATTAGAAATATTTCCTGCCTGGAGGGGGGGGGGGCACACCATTTGTGTGAATATCTCAGGAGGCTGATGGGAATGTTATTAATTTTGCAGGTATTTGACCAAACACTAAAATACTGGAAAAAGTGAAGTTCTGACTTGTGGATGGTCTGAACTAAATTTCCAGAGCGATCCATCGAGTGTCCGCTGAAATATTTCTCTCTGGGACTAAAATGGGGCACCACCCAACCGTTCAAATTTCCCGTTTTATCTGACAGTTAAAAACTTCAACAAGTAACCAATTAACATGAGCATTGCTAAGTGTTTCTGCTGATGAACTAATCGATTAATCGAGTGTTAGAGTTATAGTCGGACAAGTGTGATGTTTTATTTTCATGTGCACAGGAAGTCGACTGAGATTTATTACGATCATATTTTGTTATGAGACTATGTCTAAAGAAAAGAGCTCACATCAGCTTCACCACCAGTGAAACTCGTTGCAGGGAACTGGGTGGGGGGGGGTGTTCATCATTGATTATTCAGTTCAAACCTCGAAAGCAGAAATTCACAATCCATACTGGTATTTTTTTTTTTCTTGCTGATTAATCATTGATGATCTTTCTACAGAAAGTTATACTTTCTAATTTTCTTTAGCAAACTGGGGCCGGTTCATTGTGAGCATTCCTCTGTTCACATCTTTGTTATGCAGACAAACCCCTGTGGTGCTAAGTCTCATTCGAAGCTCTGCTGGTGACGATCTCGTTCATCATTAATTGATTATCCTTTAAGACTGCATTTCTTGTTTTGATCCTTTCGTCACCTGTTCGCTCTGTCT